CAATAGTTTTACTGCTTCATTTGGGTTTTCATACTAGAAAGGAAAATCAGTAAAGAAAGAATGTATATCTTGAGCCATTTTATAGGAAGGATCACTCAAACCAATACATTCTGAACTTGTGTAGTGGAGTACTGTGTAGTTATTCTCTTGTTCACCTCAAAACAGTGAAAAACATGATTGAAACAAATACCAGCATAAGGGGAAAGCCTTACCAGATTGCTGGGAAACACTTAAATGATGAAATAGATGTGCTTGACACCAGCAAACTAGCATTTTGCTTCAATTTCCACAAAACCTACCTTTTCCTTGAGTTGTGTAAAAGTAGGAGCTCACATGTTAAGCAATTGGACATTCCTTGGCACTTGCAAACAGTCATTTAAAAAAGCCCATTAAAAAAGTCACAAAGCTTCTTCAGGTAGCTCTCCGGAAAGAATAACTTTCAGTGAACACTTTCTCTACCTTCTGTGAATTTATTTTATGGATAGCAGCTAATTCCACTCCCATCGCTTTTGTCTTACTGCAGTCTTACCTTGTTAGTATTCCCTTGAAGTCCTTTATCAGAAGGACTTGGATCAGAAGGATCAGAAGGATCAGAAGATCCTTGGCCCACTTCAGTTACATGTGGTAGAGCCAGGGGCAAATCTCTGCCTGGAAAGTCAGAACAAGGAGCTGTGAACTGGTGAGCTGGCTCCAGGTGTCGTGAAAGCTGCCTTAAGCCTTGCGCTGTGTCTATGTTAACACTCCAAGGCTTTTAAAACAATTAAGAGCCTGGCAATTGTAGGCTAGTAGTATGTTTTGCATAGTATCAGTTGCTTGTCTTTGAGTCTGATGGGAAAAATAAATTCTTTTCTTCTTTGTGGTGCGTTCATGTAGGCCTCTCTGTCCAAGGTGATTGCAAGTGGAAACACTTTTTGTTTTTTGAAATCTGAATTCCAACAGGCCATATGTTTTGATGAAGCTTCCAGTATATATCTAGCCAAAAAAGTTTTGCACAGTCTACAGGAATTTTAGTGGATTAGTCAGTTGTAATTTTTGTAATTTTATGAAGCCTTTGGTGGAATATATTCAAACAGATGCAATAAATGCGGTTTGATCTCTTTGAATGGTAAAATTGTGATTTCTGTTAATGCTGCTTTGGTTTGATGCACTCTTGTTTCCTAGCCAGTTGAGGGTGAATTTGGATAGAGGAGCTGGCAAGGCTGTGGTATTTACATAATGCTTTTTTTTTTTCTTCCTGTGAATCCCTAGTGTGGATCGAAACTGTCTCTAATCTTCTTAGTGACTAAGCAAAGATTGAATGCTTTGGGTCAAGCTGGATTTTGGATAGGCTCAGTTAGGAAAAATTAAAATAAAAAAATCCCAACTCTTCACAATGATTGCAAATGGAGATACTTACAGACCAAGCTATGTAATGTTTCAGTAGTTGATTATGTTTTTGGTATTTCACCCATTTGCAAATACCACATAATTTATTTTCAACCATACTTTTGAGACTTCTTGGAAACAGAACAAATAGCTCCTTTGTTAAGCTTTGGGCACTGTTCTCATTCATTTGCCTCAAGATTGTTTTAAGTTGTATCATGAGGGATGAAAAGACAGGTGTCAGAATAAGCATCATACAGAGGCTTCCTTTTCTTGATGAACTCTGAATGGCTGGAAAAGACTGCAGACCTGAGCTTAATCCTTCTTACTCTATGACAGCTATGACATAGTAAGAAGAGTAATAGTTCATTAGGTGGCTGTCCTTCCTTATCTCAGTTACTGAAACATTTTGACTGTGATATTTGTGGTGTGTTACAGTAACATAGTGTTTCAAACACTACTATAATAAAATTAAATATGTGGGGTTTCGTATTTTTAAGACTAATAGATATCCTGAACTGAAGCTAGAAGTGAGATTTCATGCTTGATTTGCCTTGCCTGCCTAGATTTTGCAATATTTTTGCATGTAGATATTCTAGCTTGTCAGGTGCTCATAACAACATGCAAGTACAGTGTAAATCAGTCTGTCCTATTTGCATTTTCCTTTGTCTTCAGGCTCACCTTCCCCAATTAAAAAATTTATGCTAATGACTTAGTGTTACCACAATGTTTTTTTGTATGTAGTGCATCTTTACATAATACAAGATCACTCAGAGATTGATTTTTCAGAACATGAAAAAGTTAGTAGGAGCTGCTGGCCCTCTTTTAGTATCTGCAGCCTGGAGTTTACAGACCAAATGGTTAACTTTTTTTGTTGTTGCTTTTGTAACTAAATTTAGTAGCAGGTATATAATCTTTATTTTACTTTTTTTTGCTTTACTTCATGTTCAATAATAGAATAATATTTACATCCATCCCTTGCTTAAACTTACCACTGCTGCATTTCATTAACTTTCTCAATATTTAAGCTGAATTGTTCCTAATTAGTAAGTAAAGAAAAAAAGGCTCTTAAAACCTATTTGGAATCTGTATAATAAGGACATTTTAGTCTTAGAGATGAAGACTTGTACTGTTTTATGACCGTTTTTGAAATTGCTGTTGTTATTGTTATTTCTCTCAGTGGTGTATTTGAGAACAAAACACTTTTTGTCTGTGCTATAATTAATAGCCAGAAATAGCTAACTGAAAACATAGTAAAGTGGCTAAGGACATGATTACGTATTAAGAGAGAGGAACTCAAATTTAACCATACTCAGAATTTGGCCTTTTAAATGTTCTGATTTTTTCATTAAGTCAAGGGAAGTATTCAATAGCTTCTATTTTTGTGGTATGAGTTGTCACTGTAGCACATATTAGAGGTTTTGTTTCTTCTCCCTTTACATTCAAAGGACATTATACGATTTGTTGGAAAAAAAAAAAAAGGAAAAAATTAGGGGGTGGAGGGAGAAAAAGGAAGACAAAAGAATTGAAAGAAGTATTTAAAAGTGTTTGGGTTTTTTTGTGTTGTTTTTTTTTTTTCCTGTCCACTATGTCCTTGTGATTATCCAAAAATAAATTTGAAAAGTGTAAAAAAAAATTGGCCATCTTCTTAAAGCAGTGTAACATTTCAAAGGGAGGAATCAAAGGCAGTTTTGTGAATGTCTGCTTTGCATTCTGGGAAGGGAAGGAGAATGGAAAGAAAAGGGAAGGGAATACACACACACTTATAAACTTTCCTTATTTATATTATGTTTTATAACTAAAAGGAGATATATATCTGGGTACAATAATTAGAACAGGATATTGCAGGAGCCCAAATTATGCCTGTGAAAATTTATCAAAGTTGACCAAATCAGACCACTAAACTCTCTATTGTTATACTAATTGGAAGAAATAAAAGATAACAAAGGTGCTATAGCCTTTAAAGGCAACTTGTCAGTGAGCTTGAGCCAATCTTAACTGCAAGCAAAATAAATTGTTCAGCCCTTTCTCCCTTTCCCAACTCTGGCAGCATGTTCCGTTGCTCCTTTTTACCTGTGCTGATACGTGTGTGTCCATGCTACGAAGAGTTACTGTTTCCTGCTCCGCTTCCTTCACAGTGTGAATAACCCTCTCTGAGTTAGGGCACAAACCCTGGTGCCAGTGTACGGGCATCAGTGGGCACATACAGCTGGAGGCCACAGGACCACACCTTTTAGTGGCAGTATGGATTTAAATCAAATTGAAAGCAGTATGAAAAAGCAGCCCAGGCTTTGCATGCATTGTGCCTCTTTTAACTACTGTATTCACTGTACTAACAGGAGAGATTTAGAAAAACTTGCCACTCGGCTAATTAAAGGCTCTTCTTCTAAAAAGGCTTTTGTCTCAAGCTTTAGTTCTGCGGATCTGAATGTAGACAACTAGTGCCTCACGTTTTGGCTTGGTTTTAGTTTTGGCTCTACAAATATAAATACAACTGTATATATAAAATAAATAGCTACTATAAGACCAGAGTAACAAGACAAACTTTAGGCCTTCATTAAGATTTTGTTTTATTTTAATATATACAGCAGTATGATATATGATATGGGTGCTCCAGTTTTAGCTTTAGGGGTTTTTTTTTTGTGTGTGTTTTGTTGTTTGTTTTTAATTTACAACTGTTTAGGGAACAAATTATAGATGTTACTTGGTTCTCTCTATTTCCATCCAAGGTTTCCATGATGAATACTTAGAGATGATGGATTTGACTTAAGGGAAGTGTAAGAAGATGTTACAACTATTACCATTGGTATTGAGCTATTCTACAATAGTAGAAGCTGAATGTTGCTCATACCATGCAGAGGTTCTCTGTTTGAAGCATAAAAATTAATTTCAGTGAAATTCTCTTGTCAGAAATGAGAACTGCATGTTTTACTCTAAAAGCAATGCTGGACTGTTCAATAGTAGTTGTGAAGGATTACTAGTGATTTGAGCAGGCTTTCAGAGTTTTGCAGATTTAGCATATAGGAAAACGTCTATCAGTGTTTCTTTATATCAGCTGTGCCCATGTATGGAAATGTTTGTGAACGTCTCAGGTGAAGCAACAAGCCAGTGCTTCATGGCTCTTGCTGATCTTAAAAATCTTTCTACTGCATGAAATAAATCAGAGTTTCAGCTTGACAATTGCACTTTACTTTTTTACTTGCTTTACCTTCCATCCTTTTATAAGTCGGTAGTGATACAGTTCTCTTCCACGTTTGTGTGAAGCTAAACACTTATAACTGGTTTGAATTTTAAAAAGTACTTTATCCCAAAATTTAGTACTATAAGATTGCCTTTTATCCTTTCACAATTACATAAATTTTATTTCTTTAGTTAGTTCATTATTTATCTTAATTAATGAAAAGGCAATGTCTGGTTTTCTGAGTTTTCAAGGATGTGGTCAACTAGTCCTCTTACTCATAAAATAAATGTTAGTGGAAGGTTTAATAAATACACCCTCATTTATGCCTGAAGTTAAATGTCTCATGGATTTTTGTCCCCTAAATATTCCATTGCATTCCTTTTCCTGTTATCTCATACGCTGAAGCATTAATGAAAGCAATGGGGCCTTGTTTTAATACTGCTTTTTTTCTCTCTAGCTGTGTGCAGCCCACCTGCCAACCCGATCAGAGGCTCCAAACCACTATCAAGCAGTATGTCGGGCTCTGTTTGCTGAAACAATGGAACTGTACACTTTCCTGGCCAAAATTAAAAGTGCAAAAGAGGTAAGCAGTCTGAGGTTTTCTGCTTTTGAACTCATTACTGTGTGAATTAGGCTTGCAAAATCACTTCCATACCCAGACAGTGGTGGATGTCAGATGCTTGAGGAAATTATCTGTAGTATTCAGGGAGAGTGGTTCTACAGCTGAAGATTTTTTTCTTTTGGCCTGTAACCATTTGTAAATGTCTCACAGAAATTGTTATTAATTGTGACTAGTCTATTTGGGAGTAAAATAGAAGTTTTTCTTGGAGGGTTACACATTGCATATATGCATCTATTCCTGCATGTGCGTGTACAATATATTTGAGTCTAAAAAATTCTTTGGTATCTCAGGGATGCTGTGAGGCATCAGAGCTTTGCCTGTTGTTCCTCAGCATCTTCTTAGTGCTTTGTCTTTAGCTGAGAATTATCTGAGATTCTTCTTGCTCACATTTTGTCCCCAGTCAGCAGATTCCCTTACCTTTGACAAATTATTGGCTTTTTTGACTGTCACACAGGCTTCACAGCAGAGTCAGCTTAAAACAAGAAAACTTTCTGCCTGTAGATTGTGATGCTTATGTTCACTGCCTGCTTGGCTGTTACGGTTGACTGAAAGGCCATTCTGTGAACTGCTGCAATTAAATGGTCTGACTGAAGAATAACTTTGAGGGTGGGCATGTTTTTTATTGAAGATAATTTCAGTGATCTGGTCTGCAAAATGGTTTCATAAACAATTGTATTAACACAGTGGGGGGTTGGGGTGGGAGAGCGGGAAGGCAAACATGCTTCTGAAAGCTGGTTTCTTCATCCAAACCATCTTATCAAGTAATGGCACTCATAATTTTTCTTTTTAATAAATCCCTGAAGGATTTACTTTTCTAAGTCAAGACCCAAAGTACATTTGAAAAGCAGGATTAGATTTTACAAGCTTATGTAAAAATTTTGCTGCTAAAAGAGACAGGGCTGTTCCACCCATGCACACATGCTCCCACTATTTTTACTGTTTTCCTTCTTCTGGTTTGAGGAAACAAAGACAGCAAATACTAAAAAAAAAAACCCCAACAACAAATGCAAACAAAAAAACCCAGGAGTCAGTCCTTGTCAGGTTAATGAGCTGAATCTGCTCATCAAAGGGTCAGATGAGCCTCAGAGCAGCACAAGAGAGCTTTTATCCTGACTCTGGTGGTGGAAGACAAACCAGAGGCATGACAGACTGGTGCTGTCTTTTCTTCCTGGTCAAGACGCCTCCCTCCTAAGGTGACATGTCCTTCAGACATGTTTCACAGTAGCACAGAGTCGAATTTCACCTCCACTTTTTCTCCAGTCCTACTCAAACTGAAACCAATTTTTAAACTGAAACAGTATCATACAAGGCAGTTTTGTCAGTGTCAGCATGGCTATAGAGCCACTTGTTTTCTGAAGTGCCCATGTTATGGGTCATCTGCATCCAATACCCTTGGTACAGAGAGCTGTCTGGATACAGTGTCTCTGTGCTAAATCTGTCTCCTGAACCTTTTCATCATTAATTTCACATCTCAGCTGTTGACTGCTCCTTAGTGTTCTGACCACTGGATATAATTGAGGTACTTGTGCAAGAAACACCTCAACTAACAGCTACCGCAAAATCCATATTGAGGCTCAAAAACCCCTTGAAATTCTTCTTTCTGCTCAGAGAGGAATTACATTTCCAGTAGTTCTTGAACATTTGAGCCACAGTAAGCAGTGGTAAGGCTTCTCTTGTTATTGTCAAAGTGAAATATTGTGGTTTATAACCATTTAAAAATGATGTCTTAATCTTTTTTAAAAATGTGTTCACAAAGTAGAGGTGTGTTTTGAATTTGCAGATTATTTAATCACCTTGTAATTGGATGTAAAAGCCCAGCAATGTCTGATCACACCGTAGAGCATGCTATGAGTTAATTCCAAATGAAAGAAACCATTTGCCTCTCAAAGGCTATTAGGAATTGATTCAAAGCACATTTAGGTCAAAGGAAGTAATCCCTGTAGATGGAATTTTGGCCCTGCTGAAATCAGTAAGACTTTTATTGCTGCACCTAACCAGGGTCAGAATTTTGATCTTTTGATTTAATTTTACTCTGGATCGGTCCTGCAGTAGGCATACCAGAAATTGCCAAGAAAATTTTCACACAAGCAGCTTCTGGAATCTGAATACTTTGGTTTTATGATGTGCTTGATCCTTGCTTATAGCTTTTTTGGAACGTATTTAATTTTGAACATAATGTAGCATACAAAGAAAAAAATAAGTATGAAGAAAGTACAAGGTGGAATGCTGTAAATCTTGTTACACCCTTTTAAAATGACCTCTGTAGTTTATACTTGAGGCAAGCAGGAATCATATGATCACACAAAGCTTGTGCCAGTAAAAGCTGTGATGTTGTTTATATGCTCTTCTGTCTTGTGAATACCTGGAAGAATCTTGATTCATGAGGAATATGGCTTAATACAATTCAAGTCAATAAATTAATTTTTCTTTTGTTTTTGTCAAATGAGTATTGAGTATGAACGAGAGAAACACTTAATGCTTCAGTGAAGACATTTTATTGTTGTGACTTAGTGGTGATTTCATTGGCAGATAACTGGAGGAAAAAAATCCCAAGTTATATAGATCAGATCAAATTTTTTAAAAACCCAGTACTGTGTAATATTGTGGTTGTGACACTAAAGATGCCAGAAATTTTATACTGCTAGTTTATTTCAAAACCTGACAGCTTTATTCCTTTAGAACTCCTCAGATTTAGACACAGTTGTAGACATGAGATAAAAATTAAATTAAAAACACTTTAAAGGGGAAAAATAGTCTAAAATGACTTAAAATAACTTTGTTATGAAAAAAAGAAATTACTTTGAAATTAATTTAATTCCTTCTAAGGTCACTGGATGCCATCTGGATATCTGTTTCTCAGGTGTATGAATTTCATAGTCTTTGCTCAGTAGGCACTTGAACAGATAACTTCACTGTAGTGGAAGAGGGAGACATTTTTTCTGCAGAAGTTAACTGGACCAAATTGACCTATCTTATGCTAGAGCTTAGGACAAGACTAGAAGGCAAATAAACTGTGAAACAGGCAGGGCAGTGGGAGATTTCTGTGATGCTGTTTTCAGTTTGGCACTATAACAACTTGTCAGGATTTTGAAAGTTACAGTATTTCATGAGGGATAGATCAGGAAGCAGAAGTGATAGGCCCATGAGGACATAATGTGTTTTGTTATTTTTTTTATATACTGAGAAGTCATGTGCTCTCCAGTCTATCATGTGAACAACGCTGTCATAGAACAAATGGAGCATGGCTTCACAGAGGGTTTTACTGGCATGCATTGAGTGAGTGCATTAATCAGAAATGATGAAGCAATGATCAAGCTGTTCAGATCATCTCAATGGATGTCAAACAAAATGTTTTAGGCACTTTGACAAATACTTGATGCCATGTGTTTTTTATTTCCAATCTGATTCCATTTGTATGAAAGGTCAGTAGTAAAGCTGACTTGCAGACAGGGAATGGTATTGCCATTCTTAAAGAGAATTAAATGTTTAATGTAGCAGATGCACAGGACACGACTCAAACTAGAGTTGAGAAAGGTAGGATACCACTATTGCAATAGTAAAAATAGATTAAATAAATGGAGTAACAGGAGAAAAAATGCTTATTTCTGTGAAATAGCAAAGGTTATTGAGATCACTTTTGTTGGCAGCTAGCCATAGACAGAACTGTAGGCACAAACAAGTGATATCTATGAGATAAAGCCAATGTTCCTGCTGTGGAGTACATATAAAGGTGACACACATTACTTGGGAATGGCATAAGGTGTGACTGAGAGACAAGAACTGTGCAAGTATTGGACTGCAGAAATTGCTGCTCTGAATTGGACTGTAGATCCACGTGGTCTGCTGTCCACATTGTGAACCTGCTTTATTGAGAGGCTATCTGCCCTAGTCTTCCTTCAGCTTCCTGTTACTGCCCAGTCTTGCCTTCTACCGGAGTTCATGCTCCACGTGCACTTAATGGCTGAGTGCCAGCAATGTGCCCTTGTCTCAAAGAAGCCTCATGGTGTTCTGGGCTGCAGTCGGAGAAATACTGCCTGTTGGTCAAGGGAGCTGATCCTTCTCTCTACTTAGCACTGTTGAGGCTACACCTGGAGTGTTTTATCCAGTTCTGGGGATTCCCAGTACAAGAGAGACATGAACATACTGGAGAGAGTCCAACGAAGGGACACAAAAATTTGTATCTCTCATATGATGAGAGGCTGAGAGACCTGGGTCTGTTTAACCTGGAGCAGAGAAGGCTCAGGGAGATCTCATCAAGGTCTATAAATACCTGAAAGGAGTGGTGCTCAGTGACAGGATCAGAGGCAATGGGCACACACTCTCTGAACACCAGGAAACACTTTTACTATGAGGGTGACCAAGCACTGGCAGAGGTTGCCCAGGGAGGTTGTGGCATCTCCATCCTTTGAGATATTCAGAAGTCACCTGGACATGGTCCTGGGAAACTGGTTCTGTTTGGCTGTGCTTGAGCAGAGGGGTTGGACCAGCTGATGTTCCGAGGTCCCTTCCAACGTCAAACACCACGAGTGGTATCAGTACATGGTGATGCCAGCCTGTAGCAGAGCTAAGCATTCGTGACTGGGTTGTTGGTGATAAACTCCACAACTGGCACAGCTGGTACTAAAAGACACGATGTGATGGTGGCCAGCATAAAATACAAGTGTCCAGTAGGTGGATGTGTCTCGATCTGCTGCAGTAGATTTGATTAATATCTCAATTTTTAGAGATTTATGTGCACCTTAAAGCATCAAGGTTAATATTCCTTCCAAACTAAATAAGACTTTGTATATTTTTGTAACTGACTACATCTTTGATTGCAGTGAAAGTCCATGTTCATCAAAAACCCATTCATAATTTCATAATCCACAGCATACTTTGTAATTAAGTTTTTGCTAGAATACAGATAAAGCTCCCAATCTGTCATCTTCATACTTTTAAATTCTGTCACCTTTCATTTCTGTCCTTTCTGATGCAAAAGCATAAATCTTTTAGTCTACCTGGATATATTTCAATCTGATCTGTATGAAATATAAACATACACATTGTAATTAAGTGCATGAGTAGAAGTGAAATGATTCCTTTATTTTTTTTCTTAGTTTCATTCCATGCAAAGACTCAGTTGGAAGACAGTTAATTAAAAAATTCTAGTTACCTTCCATTTAATGTGGCTATACTGGTGTATTATTTGTACAAAATATGATAATGGAGGTAGTTAATAGGTACCTAAACAATGTTAATGGCTAACTTATTTTGGAAATATGGTCATTAGCCAACTTACTCCTAATAGTCTTGTGACTGTGAAAGCTGTTAAATACCCTGCTGCTTGGATTTTCAGAAAACACAGCTGGAGAAGGAATTTTATTCACAGACATTTCTGTTCATAACTTCACTTTTGCCTATACTTCTGAGTTTCTAGTGACTCCACTTTTGCAAATGTGTTGTCCTCAGGCTTGCAGCCTCATTGTAGTGTGCTTGATCCCTCAATTTGGGAGCTTTAATAAGGGAAAAGGCTGCTGTTTTGCTTTTGGCACAGACACAGAATTGACACAGAAATACCAGAGTTGGAAAGCACCTCTAGAGATCATCTAGTCCAACTCCCCTGCTAAAGCAGGATCACCTAGAGCACAATACACAGGACTGCATCCAGATGGGTTTTTAATATCTCCACAGAAGGGGGTTGTGTGGTTGGTTGGTTGTTTTTGGTTGGTTTGTTTTTTTTTTTCTTACCTGATGCAGGTTCTGTCACTCAATAAACATTACATGTACTTGATTTGGGCTTTTTTTTTTGCCTCTACTTAAACAGTTATGTTGAGCAGGATGGTGACTATTGCCCTTTATAGAGCTAAACAAAGTGTGTCAACCTGTACCACTGTGTATGAACTCTGATATCCACTTGAGATGTTTTCAGGAACTGATTTAATTGTTCATCTTCTCATGTTTGAATTAAATGGGGTTTGGACCTTTTCAAAGAACTAGAGTAATGCTGCTGGCCAAGCCTGTGGAATTTAAATCCAAGTTGGATAGCTGAATATGTAAAAGTAGTTTTTTTCCCTAAGTGAAGTTTATGTAGTTTTAAATTGAGCCTAGAGGTGTAAGAATATTTTATTAGTTTCACAGATAACAGTGTAAGAATTACTTGCATTAGTGAACAAATGATTCCTAATTAAGAATATGAAGTGGGAACAGCAATAGACTGTGTTCTGCAGTTGATGAAAGACGAAGTCCAGATCTGAGTTCCTGAGAATACTGTCTTCGTTAAAACGTTACATTTTAGAGAGCATTATGTGGAAGAGAGTCTTTGATGCTGTGCTGACAAGTGTCTTATATAAACTCCCATCTGTCACCAAGCACAGGAGAGGGCATCTGAAATGTGGGACACACAGCAGCAGCAAATCAACTGCCTGCTTTTAATAGTGCAGCAAGACATTTGAAGACATTTGGTATTTTTTTTTACTAGCTTTTGTCACAAAATGTGTTTAAAAAAAAAAAAAAAAAAGCTAAATGCTGTAATGGTATAAAAAAAGCCAAGGCTGTTGAAACAGTCACTTCTACAATTCCAACCCTTATTTCCTGAATGAATGCCCTGGCAGTAATGGATGAGTTAGGTTTGTGGTTCTGGGATCATTTAGAAAACCCCTTTTAAGATGTTTCTGTTTTCTGAAATGGAAACCTATTTAGACCTTGTATTTATTATACTATAGTAGTTCTTCTTAATCCATTGTCCCAAGGGTAAGAAAAAGTGGCTACAGTAGCTGAGGTTACTCACAGGTTTTGGATCACAGTTAAGTTCTGACACATTGTCTTTTGTACTGTGTATGTTGGTTTCTGTAATTTATGATTGAAACAGATGCCAAAACCCACTGATGCTGGCTGAAGGTACTGGAGAGGAATGATAATATTTCATTTAGTCTAGAAGCTTAAACATAATCATTTGTCGCAGTAAATTTATTCCTTCCTAAGCACCACCTGAGAGGTGTGGAAAAACTGAAGAAACCTCCCTAAGCACTGGCTTAGGGTGGAGTGGACAGAGCACTTGCTGAGTTTTTTTTCTCCCCAATCCTCTTAAGTTTTATAACTACTATAATGATGGAAATTAATTTCCTTTCTGCTGTTCTCCACTAATTGCATGATGAGCTACATTTAAGAGTGTGAGCTGGATGACAAGGAGGGAAACAAACTATCCCTATGAAGTGGGTGTCTGTGCTAGTATGCGGGAAGCAGCTGGAGCACTTGGCTAGGATGGGGAAGAGTAGGAGCCCAGCTTTGGCAGCAGCCTGTGCTTGTACCTGCATATTTGGATCAAAAACCTGCAATTTGAGAGAAGACTTACCTCTTGGCTGGCAGGTTTTGCTCTTGGAATTCTCCAGCGCGTGATAGGCAGCATCATTTACACCTGTGCTTTCTCGGGTAGAAACTCCCCCTCAAGCTATGTTCCAGAGAGACTAATTAGATGGTTGCTTTATTTGGAAGATCTTTCAGCTGTTCAGGGGCTTTTTTTCCCCTCTTCTTATTTTCTGCTGCTAAGAAAAACATGTTGTAATCTTTTTACCTTCATGGAATATTTATGTCAGTCAAAGACATCAGCCTTTAGGCATAAACCAGCCCAGTAAACCATATGGTAGAGAACATGGTTGCTGAGATGAATGATGGCCACAAATCTTCTTGAACAGTCAAAGTAAAGGTTAAGCAGCTGGAACATGTTAATTTTTTAAAAATTAATGTGTGCCTTCCAGCATGGAAAGGAGGAGCAGATCTGACAGTTGTGAGCTCATTTACTGCAGTTAGCTTTTTTATTACAATTAGCAAAGGGAGAAAGTATCAGAATGTTTTTATATTTTGCAGTTTATCAATAAATATTAACAGTTTTCAAGAAAGCAAGTCATTTGCAGTTAACACATACTGTATTTGAAATTATTTCTGCAACTGTATGATACAGAAGAAACCCTGGATGCCAAAATACACATAAGCGAGGCCTTCATTTTACTTGTTCTTTCCATTTTTCTTTTTTTCCCCCTTGGAAAAGGCTGAGTGCATGTGTCAGACTGACTGCTGACTGCAGTGACAGGACCAACACAAGTTTTCATAAAGACATTCTTTCCCAATTAGGTATCCTGTGGTGACTGCTGCAAGTCATGCCAAAATGTTCCCGAATTGTCCTGTGATATTTTTGCTTCTTTAGTGTAGGTGTTTTCTGGTTTTAGAGTCTTCCTGTAAATTATGTAGTTTGTTTTTATAGGGCAATGATAGTATTTCTTCTTTGATATGAAAGCAAGTGAGTTACTTAAATAAGACAATAAATAACCTATCTGCTGTCTTTCCAAAACCTTTGTGGTGGCTGACTCAGATGAGCTGTCTCTGGAATCAGGTTTGGTGGATACCAGCACTCTGTTAAATGTGCAAGCTAGGCACTCTTCCAGTGCTTCCATTTCTTCCACTGAAATGTTGGTAGTTTTGGAACTATTTCCTGGGTTTTTTTGTTGTTTTTTTTCTTACAAAGTATGCTTATCTTTAGGTTTTCTGGGAAGCTCAAAAGTTAAATTGAAACTGATTGTTGCAGTCCATTAAAGGAAGAGCTTGAGTACTTCAAAGTGAGAAAAAGATTTTTGATAAATAAATACATCTGTCAGATCTTTAACCTATTCTTTAGTGTGACAAGATAAACAAGTAGTTGTCAGAGGATTTAACTATCTATTTTTAATACATTAGTGAGCACTTAGAAAACAGATAAAATTAAGCCTTGGTAAAGAATTCCTAGAAAATTCTCTGTGAAAATCGAATGGAGTATTGAGAATTGGTTTGTACTGCTGATTCCAGAACATTTCAATACAGAAGTAAACACAAATCATTTAGAATATGCAGTTTGTGTTAAGATTATTTCTGTAAAGCCATAGCCTTTTAAATCTCTTGCATTATTTGTCTGTGTGCAAGCTTGCCTGTTCTTTGTTCTGCTGTAACTTTTAATAATTTTTCATATTCTCGTTAGTATGTTGAAAGCTTTTTTTGTCCCTTTGCAGACGATCTTGTCCATATTTGCATGATCTGATCTTGATCATAAATAGCAGGTTTTGCCTTTGAGAGTCCTGTTTCTCCTCCTTACATGATTTTATTACTCAGATTTCAGAATTTGTAACCAAGTTATACGGTCCACCTTATTTCAATATATATACACAAGTCTGTCACTATTCAGTTTAAAGGATTTCTTATAGTTTACTTCTTCTCACAACTAATTTCCATGGAATTTCTTCTGCTACAAAAAATGAGCTGTCTTGAATTCAACAAATGACATTCGTTTAAGTATGAATGGGGTCCTTACCAAGTTGGTTGTGCTTTCTGTGCTGTAGCTTAACAGACAGGCTAGGTGGTTGGGGTATTTTTTCTATGCATAGCCCAATTTTAAAATATTAGAATGTATACATATATTGTTTTCCTCTGCCATGCTTTTATCTGAAGTACTTTCGTACTCGAAACTTAAGATGTTTTTTTCCCCAGCATTTTATGTCCACTTTTACATTAAGAGAAATATATTCAAATTGTAAATTCAGGTTACTTTTACACTATTACAATTCAAGTCATAAAACATTTGGTATAATACTCAAAAACAACTCAACAGATGTCAAAAAATAAGCTTCAGTTTTACTTGGGAGTAATGCCTCTCGTTTATTGACTGATCTGCTTTTCATTGGCAGAATCTGAAGAAGATTCAAGAAATGGACAAAGAGGCAAGTGATGAATCCAGCGCAGATCTTGATGACTTAAAAAATGCTGACTGGGTAAGACAACAATTGAATAGTGATTCAGCATTATTACTAGTAGTTTGTATTTCTTTATTATGCATATGTAAAGTTGTTGGTTTATATTAAATTCAGTGTCTGGTGTTTTTTAACATATGAATTAATAGTGACTCATGACAAGTTAGAACCAAATGGAGTCTCAAGTGTCCTTTGCAGACAGATGAAGCAATACAAGTCTTCAAGCATTACATTTTTTCTTTAGATTGTTTTCTTGCAATTTAAAAAGGCTGGACGTTTAGACAGGTGTCATGCTGGCTGCCTGTCAGTGGAGCAGCCAGGTAGTAGACAGAGCCACCAGCTGAGTTGTGCCGGTGGTGAAAGAAAAATGTTAGAGAAATTCTTAGCAAAAAGTAGCTTGTTTTACTTTGTAATTACTATTCATAGGGAAACATTATGAGATACTTGTTTTCAATCTCCTAATCTTCTATCCACTGCCTGTTTTCCCTCCTCTCCAGCCATTCTCACTACCCAAAAAATGATAGGGAGGTGTTACTGTGTCTCTTACAGACAGACCAGAAGGAAGTTGAGTCTGAAGAGGACATTGCTAGACTTTAGGATTTGGAGTCTGTTCTAGAATTGCTATTTGAAGAAGAGCTGCTGGGAAATTTTGCAAGGAAGTTCTGGGCCTAAGGGAAACCAGGTTGCAGATTCAATCACTGTTTTCAATCACACAGTATTAGCTATAACTCTAGAAACCTCTCTGGTGTGATTGCGGTATACTTGAAATGGGCATACAGATGTATGGTATGAGAATTTCAGATCCTTTTTCTGTGTTGTCTTAGTGGTGAACATCACTTGAGGTGAGACTCTGCAGCCCTGCTGAGTTGCAGCAAAGTTGTTTTACATTCATGAGGGTAAAAAAATAAAGTAGTAAAGCTGCATGTATTTGGTGGTGTCCTGAAAAGGGAATGAAAAACATTTGCTTGATCTGAGGTGGTATTCAAGAGTAAGGTATCAAATGAAATTTCTCTCTCCTTTCTCTTCAGGCTCGTTTTTGGGTACAAGTGATGCGAGATTTACGGAATGGTGTTAAACTTAAGAAAGTTCAAGAGCGTCAGTACAACCCACTGCCGATAGAATATCAGCTCACACCCTATGAAATGCTGATGGATGATATTAGATCCAAACGCTATACCTTAAGGAAGGTCATGGTAAGTCAAGAGAATTGCTAGAACTTGTCAAGTCTGAAATGTTTTTTTCCTTGTTGATCGTCTTCTCTTCTTTTTCTGAGAACCTTGACATTTTGTTTTCATGTAGATAGTGATATTTATGGGCTTTTGTATGGGATCTTAAATTTCAGGGAGAAAGCATGAAAGCAATAAATGTTATATGTGTTATTGTCTTGGAATATTTAGTGTTCAAATATATTTGCTTTCCTGACAAAACCTCACACAGCCTTTGGTATTGAGAAAGCGGTGATTCCACTAGTAGAATTTAGAGATGGGGTTGGGAGAGAGACAAGAGAGACAGAAAGTGTGTAGTTTGTTCTATCAGAGATCATTAGACAAAAGAATAAAGGAAGAAGAAATAGAAACAACTGCATGGGGAGCAAATACTTGAGTTCTGTTTCAAATATAAATGCCTTTTATGTATGAGCTGGAAATACCTTCCTAATCAAGATCTGAATTTAGACTATCAGATTGTATTTATTTTCTGCAGTAGATGTTGCTTAAATGTGAAATCAATAGGATAAAATACATACCCAGGTAATGATGTTATCTGTCTTTCCACTAACAATTCAGAGAACTGTGCTAAGTGTTCCTACAACCCACTGCAAAAGAGGAACAGTCCCCTCTGGACCTTGATTACTGTATGCAATTGGGGTAGTAGCTGTGCTTGAATGGGAACCCCTGGGGGTGTCTAATTTTGCTTTTGTCAAACTAGCCTTTAATTCATATTCTGCTGAGCAAGCTCCTGCCTCTTCTGAAGAGATTTTCTGCATTATATGGTAGGTCTTGAAGGCACAGCTGCTCCTCTGCTCATCCAAGCTCTCACTGTGTATGAAATCCCTTCAAGCATCTATTTTTGTCCTGCTATCTTGTCTAGTAGGTAGATTGTCCAAAGAGATCTCTGGGTGTAAACATGAATTGGGATTACAATCAGCTGTAGGTACAGTACCCGTCGTGCTGTCTGTGATGCAGTTGCTGGCTTAGTCTGACAACTACTAATGGCATTGTGTTAAAAAAATAGCATATCTCTTATAAGCTTTACATTCAGTTACTTGGATTCTGCTGCAGGGTCTGCTCGAAGAATATGCAAAGCATGCACAATAATAAGAGTGCAGCTTGACATGGAATGTATGGAGCCTGAAGGATTCACATAGAATTACAAGTTTAGTTAGATTGCATAAATAGAGCATCTTTTAGCTGACCGTTGTGGGTCAAAGCTGATTATAAGCATCCCCATCAGAGAAAACTGTAATGGTTCCTGAGAAGAGGAGAAAAGGACAAGAATTCTAAATCTGAATTTTAAGGCAGCCTGGGAAAGGTGGATTATGTTGCTTTCTATCAGTCAAAATGGATGTTTGGCAACACTTTTTTTAAGTGATATTTGTTTCAAATTTATAGGTAGCATTTTTAGACTTGGAAGCTTGTGAAGATGCATATGCTCCTAATGTTAACAATAGGTTAAGTACAGTTTTAAAGAAAGTTAGATGCAACATGAAGTTTTTATGGTTCTTTTTATTAATACAATCCTGTATTCCTGTAATCTTTAAATGTCTACCTGGAGAGATTTAATAGTATTTTTTTCCCATGGAGCAATCACTCCCAAAAAGTTAAGAATTGTGAACATTGGTAGAATCAGCACTTGGAAATGGGGAGATTTAGGAATGAAATTAATCTTACAGGCATATGTATTAAGCTACAGCTTTTAATTCCACATGGATTCACAATTTGCTCTCTTTCCTGCTCACCTCATGCCCTCCAAGATGGGCACCATTCAATATATTTCTTGAGTAGTGCTTATTGAATAGTAGCTGATAACTCTTATGTTAGTTACTCAATGCATGACTGTCAGGTACCTCTTATGTGGTATCCAAACTCAGCAGTTCTCAACTGAGAATTCAGTGGCATGGCTGTTTGGATATTTTTTTACAAAAACATGTTTATTTATTTACAGCATTTAGCATCTTACAGTAAAAAAACCCAGCTGTACATTGACAGTATCTTCATACACAAGATTTCAGATGTTTCAAGCATAGAGGATGTGAGGAAAAGTCTTAGGTCAGTTTGTCCAGATGAGCATTGTAGAGTCTGTCATTCTGTTATGCACAGGTCTGATCTAGTTTTACTGAGTAGTATTTAACTGCTTTAAGTGGGAAAATATCCTTTTTAATTTTCTGCCTTTGTCACATGTTTCTGCAGAAATGTAGGAGTCATCCTAGGTAGAGCAGTGAGCTTTACAGTTCCTAACTGTGCATTAGAGGTATTCAGAGGAGTGACTGTGTGGATTTACTATGGTTATCATGTGGTGTCATAAACATGAATCTGTAACAAATATGCAGGAACAGCGGTGTAAGTACAGTGGCCTATGATGTGAAGTACCAAAGCACTTCATTCTGGGACACTGCTGCTTGAGCTTGGTGTGTGGTGTCAAATCCACACTCTGTAACAACTGTGTTAGCAAAAGCACTACACTGTGTGCATGATGAAAGATGGCAAATATGTATCTACTTATAATACTTTAATTCACAATAGAACTTTATCATGAGCTGTTCTGGAAATGACATAGCATGCCCACTCTGTCCGTGTCTTGGTTTGAGCCAGGATGAAGCCAATTTTCCTTTCACTTATTTATTTTTTCCCTGTCAGAAAGCTCTCTTAACTAGCAGCAAGTAATTTTAACTCTCCTTCCCTACCTGGTGGAGGGGGGAGGGGATTGAGACCGTTGTTGTCTCTGGTTTAATTGCCGATCCTGAGTCAAACCGTGACAGTGTCCATGCAATTTCAATTTAAATACAAATTTCTAGATAGTACAAAACGATATCAGTTTCATGTTACTTGCTACTTAGAGATAACACTTTCCTATTTAATGCTGTCACCTTTTACAGCAAGACAAATAAATGGCTGAGATAATTGAAGGTCAATGGTAAGTGATGTAGCTTTTGTGAAAGTCATGTGTAATACACTTCTTTCTTGGGATCACCATTTTTAAAGCTCATGTTTCAGCCAAGGGTTACAAGTACCATTTGCAATTACTTTTTTTAACTGCATGTCCATATTTATATATTAAAATGTGATGGTAGCAGATTGTGAGTGAGTAGATGAGTACATGGCAATTTTTTTGTGCTTTAGCTGATTAGATCTCCAGATTTCTGGTTGATTTTTAGAACCAGTGATTATGCTTTCTCCACACTGCCAGTTTTAATGCATGCAGCTGTACAAAAGCCATTTTAGACACATGAAGACTTAGGATAGTTTTACAGTGTTTTGAGGTATGTACTTATATACCAGGTTGCAGTTGGAGTCAATCTGGTGTGTGGAAAAAAAAGATGATTTTGTTGATTTTTTCCCCCCTGCACGCATTGTGGCTGCATCTGTGCAATATATCTCTGATTTAGATTTTAACCGAGAGCTAGAAATTATAATTAATTAAAAGAAGTGTGTGATATTATTCATTACAGAGTTAGTTTGAGTAAAGAAATAGATCTAGCGTGGAGAGAGAGGATAAGAGCTTCCTTTCAGTGTCTTTCCTGTCAGCATCTTGTTTAGGTGCTGAGCAAGTAGGCTCTGCCCCCTGTGCTCCTGCTCTTGGCTTTTTGTGTGCAAGGTATCCACTTACTTCACCACCAGCTCCCCATGTATCCTATGGAAAAATCACTTAAGTAAATCTTATATTTCTCCTTTTCCAGTCAAATGGGAATCCAGATACTAATTATACCCTGGTGGCATGAAGTCAGGGCGTAGAGTGCCCTAGGGTGAAAGGCTCAGAGCCATGTATTATTTATTTCCTATTGTCAGGCTGAGGGTTGTTCTCCAAGGCTGGAATGGAGATAATCAGTTTACAAAATGACTCTTCTGATGCTAATAACTCTCAACTTCAGCGATCAACTTTGACATCTGATGAACAGTAACCCTGAGAAATTAATAATCCCTCAAAGCATGCTGGCCTCAAAAAGCTGTTCAGTCTTTGAACAGAAGAAATCTATCACACCACTTAAAATAATTTTCTCCTCATCATAAAAATGTCAAATCACGATTTAATGGAAACCTTTTCAATTTTATTTTTCTGCTCTATTTTTATGAAGGTGATGCATGTTGCAGAGTTTAGCAGGTTGGTATTCTGTGACAAGCTGTATGAAGTTAGCTCTAAGTAAGCTAAGGAGGTGATTGGGGAGAATAAATGGAACTTGTACGATGTCTGGGGTAGGATACCTCCAGAAACAGTCCCCAGGGAAGCAATGTAATGTTCCCCAGGAGGGACTCTGCAGCTGCATTCTTACTGGGGAAGGGATGAATGTTCTTTGGAAAGCTGTCACCCTGCTTCAGCCTGAAAACAGGGCATGACTAAGGTGAGCAGAGCTTGTGTGGAAGGTGCATAGCATTACTGAAGTTCAGTTAAGGTGACCTTATGGGCATTTAAACCCATTTTTTTGAGGGCAGCATTCCTTCTGGTTAGCAAAAGTGCATGTGATTTGACAAACCAGAGCTGTGTCTTTATATGTATTTTCTAACTACAGAGCTTGTATGAATAATCTCTCCCAAGAGCAGCAACGAGCAAACTGACCCGTAATTAAAAAAAAAAAAAGTACTGAAACTGGGGACACTAGGTCCAAAAAATATTGTGTCATAGGAACTTTTGTCAAACTGGAGGGACAGGGCCGATAGCCAGGTCCTGTGTGGTAACAGAAGGTACCAGAAGGATGTATGACACTGGTGGTGTGCTTGGGCACTACTGTGTGATGAGTGAAACTGATGTGGATTTTTTAAGCAAACCCATACACTTACTCCCAGCATATAATTTGTAAATTCTTCAAATGTTGGGAAAACTTCCATAACCTTCTTTTATATCCCATACACATACTGAATTGCTAACTTTTTCCTGTCATGTCTTGTATATCATCTTATTCTGACTTATAAGAGAAAGAGATGTCTGTCTCTCTGTGGAACACAAAACAAATAACCAGACAACCCTCACCCACCTCCCTTTCTATGGAAATGTCAATTTACAGAGAGGAAATGCTCTTCCTGTACTGCCAATGACATTCTATGGCATTCTACTGATTTACTTTCTAGACATATTAACAAACTTAGTTTCACACTTGAGTGATCTTTAATGTGCAGGTGAAAAGATAGCTATGAAATCATGCTCCCTCTCCTTCTGGTGGGATTTACACACAAGGGCACCTCTTCATGGCAAGAGCAGTGGAGGCAGGTGGTAAAGACAAAAAAAAAACAAGGGGAAGGTATTTTTCAACCATTGTTACCAGCAAATAATTGGTGGTTGTGCCAGCTCTAGCCTTACTTTCTCATCACTGCTCGGGAGATGGTAAGGAGACTGGAGCATTAAAGAGCATCCATGTTTTCTCAGAAGCTAAGAGCAGAATATTAGAGACTCTGTAATGGTTGGCAGAAGACATGGTTCAACTAGTTGTTCTTAAAAATGGTGCTGGTACCTTTTCCTCCAAACAAGATGCAAGCTACATCTGCATTCTCCCATGGGCACATTTGCAGCCTTGACTTTTGATTTCTTGATCTCAAAATTCTTAATATTGCTGATCAAAGCTGCTGCAGTTGTGGTTATTCTACAGCTATCTGCAAAACTGGAAAGCTGTTGTCTGCATCTTTCCTTGCTCTGCTCATGGATTGTTGCTCTCTGCTCAGGACTGATGGGGTTTTGTCTGGTGCAGGCACCAGAACACTGCAGGCATCTCTCAGGGTTGTTGTGAGTTTTCAGTTGATCCCATCATCTGCATTAATATGAATGCAAAACACAGAAATATATATTTCACTTTCTTCTTTCCAGGTCAATGGTGACATTCCACCTCGATTAAAAAAGAGTGCCCATGAAATAATCCTGGATTTCATCCGATCGCGACCTCCATTAAATCCTGTATGTAATCCAGTGGGCTTCATTCCTAAAAAAATGTGGCTTTTTAAAGCATGTTTGTGTCCAGGGAATATGCTAAGTAGTACATTTTCTGACATGGGCATTCAAAAATACTGTGGTCTGTATATAGAATGTGGTCTTTTAAAGAACAATGTGTAATCTTGTACCTACCAATTAATAGCTGTTATTACCAGTGACCTTTTATCAGTGGGAAATTATAATGAATTGGGGAAAAACACAATCCCCTTCACAGTTTATGAATTTGAAAATTGAGTGCATGTAAAATTGTATCACAGCTTTCCACATTTTTTTTCCAAAAAAGTGTGAAATCTACTTTCAAGGAAGTTTTATGTAAACATGATTATCTTTCTATTCTAAGGCCTCGGCAAGAAAACTGAAACCAACCCCACCACGGCCACGCAGCCTTCATGAAAGGATACTGGAGGAAATAAAGGCAGAGAGGAAGTTACGTCCGGTCTCACCTGATGAGATAAGGCATAGCAGGCTGGGTAAGCACATGGCTAGTTTTTATCTGAAACATCCAGAAAACTTCCCACATAAGGTGCAGCAATATTTGCAGTGTCTGTGCAGACGTCGCTGAAGATGAAATTGTTCTCATGCCATCAGAAGAGGAAAGAACCTGCTAGGTTCTAGGGCCGTGCTGGAGTCCTATGTCCATTTTCTAGGCCTATGCAGTCTTAGTGCTAAGTTATTTTTAAAAATAAGATACTGTACAGTTCAGTTTGTTTCCCCTCATGTTTTTAATGTAAGTAGTAGATAAAGTTAATGGCATTATATTGCTTGTTGCACATGACAATTAATGTTAGATTTGCTCAGACTGGAATGGGTATTGCTTTTCCACAGTGTAATATTCCTTACATATCTGCAAGGATTCTTTACATGTCACTTTACATTGATTTTATTCTCTTTGTTTCTTTTTTTAGCATCATCTATTTCCTTATTTTCATTTAAAATCTGCTTTTTTTTTTTGTTTGCCGAATCTGAGTCTTTGCTTGATTTTCTAACATGTGTGCATATGTATTTTCAGTAGGCAAATAACTCCACACATTGCATTTCTGCAGTGTATATTCAACAACCTACTATGAAACTACACTATACTATGCTTTCCAACAGTCACCAATTTGCATGAGTTCAATGGTTCTGATTACAAAATCATGACAAATATAGCCTTACATTGTGACTTACATTTCTTTAAGAGTGCAGTATTTAATTGTGTCAGGAAAACTGAGCTAGCTGGATTTTTGAAGGGCAAAAGTGGCATCCTATGGCTGAAAAAGCTTGACATAATCCATCTATGTACTCTCTATTGCTGCTTTTTGCAAAATATTTGTGCTCACCACATGTGCTTAAAGGCACTGGTCCAGATTCAAGTGGATTGTGACAACCCATTGTCTCTGGAGAAAAGCAGTTTCATCAGGCTTGCTTTGCTGCATTGTTTTTGAAGTGCTCGGTAGAGTTTGGTGAATGCTTGGGTGCATTTTTAAAAGCACAGTGCTTTGAATATTGTTTATTTGGGCCTTCCAGTTTCTGGTTTGGATTCAGTCTATGCTTGCTGTATAAGCTAGTGTTTCTAATAAGCCTAGATGTTTTTCCAAATATTGTAAAAATGTGGAATAATTCCTTCCTTTTTTCCCAAACGTTCAATTTCAGTAGTTTAGATGTTTTCTATCTGGGAATTATCATGTCCTCTTAGGGGCAGCAAATTTGATTTAATAGATCTTTACAATTTTAATTATATAAATTACAAGAAAAAACATTTAGTAAACAGTTTTTAAAACAATGTCAAATTTTACATATTAGTATTTCTTGGGATGATTTAAGGGCATGGCTTCCAGTGAGGAATACCTGTTTTCCACTGCCTCTAATTTTTCTAATGTTGAAATATGAGATTTTGTTCTTTCTCACATTTAAATTATCATTATATCCAAAGTTCCTTTTAGACTAAAATGTATTTGTGCAGAATTGGGAATGGAGTAATGGTAGTGACATTCAGTATAGTACAAATAGATCTGCCATATAGTTTAGATGTCCACAGAAAGTAATTTAGTGTAACAACATGAGAGGTAATAAGGTTTAAGGATTATAAATCTAAGTAGAAAAAACATGTGGAACACTTGCACCATCTGGACAGAAATATTTGTTGCTAATAGAAAGAAAAACAAAACAAAAGGCACTACAGTGAAATATTTGGGAGTATAAGATACATGGATCATGTCCCAGAGTTATTCCTTCTTGCTCAGTTTATAGCAGTCAGTTGCACAAGTACACTTGACTACTGGGAGGAGGGGGCCTGTATTCTTGCAGTTCCTGTGCTGCAATACCAATGGACCTATGGCATGTGTGTCCCAGCAGCCACAGGCTGTGTCCCTCTGCTCTGCACAATGCAGGAGTACAGGTAAGATATTCTCTGCCCCAAGCTGCCACTGAGAAGAGCCAGACTGTGACTGGCCACTCCCAACCTAAAACATTTTTGGAAAAGGTAATTTAATCTTGGTAGCTGTTCTCACAGAGGGGCAGAGGAATTGGATGAGCTTTCAAATGACCTTATAAAATAACGAGAGTAAGCTTTTGAGACAAACACAGCCTTGCGATACATGTCATTTGAATTAAAAGCATGGGTTTGTAACTTGAGCAAGTTGACCTAATGGAGCTTGGAGAAAACTTTTGTTTCATGTACATGTTTTACCAACCTTGAGTTAGAACTCAGCATTAGGTGATAAACACCCTTATGCTTTAAAATGAGTCAACTCCTGACTGCGTTCACCACATAGATTTATTCTCATAAGCAGAAATTGTCCCAGCACAACCTTTTTTTAATCATCTTTTGATGCAGAGGTATGTGTGGCTGACAGGCCCTTGCATACCAACTTACATGTTTATCACCTGTAAGACAGGTAAGTTGATGTCAGTTCTGATATGTTCTTGTATATTCTTGTCACTGGGCTTGGCCTACTTAGTTGGATTAGTACACTGAAATTTTGGGTTTGGTTGAGAAATATTTTCAGTGTCTACTCCCTCAATTACACTGTTTAATTGAAAATATAGATAGATCTTCCCAGAAATAAAGAGCATCTGACCACTTTGTTATTCAGGAGTAAAGTGGTTAGAGGTCCAGAAAGGAGAGGTTAATGTTATGGATACATTTTAAGGGCTAAGTGCACCTAAAGTTTTTAAAAAGAACAAGAAGCAGCAGAAATCACACTGTGGATTTTTCCATCCTCTTCAAGGAAACTACTGCTCAAGCTTAGCTTGAGTGTCTCTCTTTATTAGTTTAATTATAATCATTGGAGATTATGCTTAAAAAAATCAGAAATATCTTTATTTCAGGTCACTGAAACTTGTGTGAAATGTGGCTTTGTACTTTTCAATTTTTTCAGCTCTTTCTTTCTCTTCTTTCTCTCTGTTTTCTCTCTCCTTTCAATCTTTCATACCATTTTAATTGAAACTATTCAATTTTTAAGATACTTGCCTCTTGTTTTAGTATTTGATTTATTGAATTCCAAAATTATCATTGTACAACTATACAAATGTATTTCTAATCGCTTTGTTTGCAAGTCTCATTTGTATTACTGTAGTTTTCACACTTTGAGCTTTACTACAGTAAAGCAATAGTATGTCTGACACATTTTGGATTTAGTCAACAGAATCCAAAATGTCTCAAGGAGACTTAATCTTTGGTTTTCATTACCCCACGGCTCTTCTAATAGCTGAAATATTTTCTTTTTGTTGTTTGTTTTTTTCTTTTTTACAGCAGTGCGGCCACTTAGCATGTCTTACAGTTTTGACTTGTCAGGTAAAAGGTGCAACAACACCTGACGTGGTTATTGTGCTTATTGTGAAATTTGTTCCATCTGTTTGTTGAATTCCCATTTAAGAAAGAAACTTGAAGGGATTCTTCTAAGATACGGTCAGTGAAAATAAAAATAAGATTATTTATTAATACCTACATTTTCCTTGTCACAAAAGGATGCCTGGGTGTAGGAAACAACTGTATTTCACCTGAAATAGAGTGCTGGAATTCTGTTCTGTAAATAACCGAAATAAGGTGGTACAGAGCTATTCCAAACTCTAAAAAGGGTAGCAGAATACAGTGTCACCTTAAAGACTGATTTGCTTATTTATTAATCTGACCCCTGTTCTTTACACTCACTTTTTTACTAGACCATCTTTTACAGTACTTCATTTCTCATTAGGATCCAAAAACTAGTTTTGAATTCATCTACCTTTTTAGATTTAATGAAATACACCTATAAATACCAATCTAGAAAGGAACTGTCAATTATACTGAGTATCTTTACAGCAAATGCACTGCAAGTCGTGAAATCAAAGATGTTCGCTAGAGAGGTTAAACCCTCCTTCTTTCCTGGTTAGCAAAGTAAGTTGTTAAGGTTTGCTGGTGACAGCTGATACAGAGGATTCGGTAGCTGTTCCTTCAGCAACTATCAAATTTAAAGCTTCCTCCTAGTAAGCCATTGGTTAGGATGTGCAGTAACTGTATGAACATGTTCAACTTCAGAAACAGCAATGTCAGAGAGAGTTTGTGCCTATTAGCCAGAAAATAAATTAATTCCTCCCTCGTTGTGCACTAACTTTCTAGGATGCTCAGGCCCAAAGATTTCATTATTGAGGTTGTAAATATTCTACATTAGCCTCAAAGGTTTGTTTGCTGAGCAGAGATTCTGAACGCTAGCTCTTACCTAATTTCCCCTAGGTGACTCCCAGGAAAAGCAGTCTCCAAATAAATCCGTGCTCTCATTTTTTGAAGAAGCAACAGCAACTGTACGCTCTGCTCTTCCTTCCAGTTCCACATAAAAACCCATTGCAGGCTTTTGGTCCTCTGATTCTCCAAGCACCTTTAACCTTATGCCTTTCTATGTGGAAAATAAACACATAATCTGCCTGAAATGCTAGTATACTGTGAACTATCAAGTAATTTGATTACCATAATATAAAAAGTATAGTAGTTTTGTAATGTGATAATGAAGTTCACAAGCAACCTATCTGTGAACATGACTTTATGTCCTGGCTGAGCCAAGTAAAGAGATTGCCACTGTCAAGAAGAGAGGAGTGGCTCTTGCTGCTCCCTCTCCTCCCCAAGCTCCTCTCCAAGCTTGTGATTCCCCCTTCTCCTCTGTGGCAGTTCTGTTCATTTATTCACAAGATCCTGGTTAAACTTGTGTAACTCAGGAAAAAAATACTAAAAAAAAATATAAATTTTTCCCAAGATTGTTTTTCTGCTCTTTTAGTAATTTAAACTTCTGTACTATCTGATGAGGTGATCAGAGAGCTGGCTAAGGGTAGATGGGAGGAAGGAACAGACTCTCTCTGTCAGAGGCAGTGACAAGCTGTTCATCCAGCTCAAGCCCTTTTGTGAAACCTTACACTGATGGTGTATTGTGTAGCTACAACTGCTGTCTGGTGGGATTCAAATTATGTATCTACTTAACATGTATCATGTTTTACTCCACTGAAAGGTGAAGGATCCTCAGGGAGGTAGATAAACAGGGAAACTTCAGTTTTCAAAAAGTGTTGCTGCTTTCAGATATTCCAAAAGTTCTCTCAGTTTTAAGACTATAAAACAGAATGTGCCATTGTCCAACAAAAGTGAAGTGTTCAATCTGTCCTTCTACATGTGTCTGTTTGCTTCTTCTTTTGCCCTTTATTTCTAAGAATCCTGAGACATCCTAATTTGTTTCAATCCAAACAATATTTTGTAAAAGCTCCCTTCATGAACCATTAATTCATTACCATAATGTTTTTATTTTAAAGAAGTACTCCATAGCAATCTATCTGTACTTAGATTTGCTCTTTTTGACTGACCATTGAAGAATTCTTCCTGTTTTCTTTATCCATCTTCCAAATGTGATTGCTTTTGTTTTTTTGAAGTCATGTGGTTCTCAAGCAAGTAGTTAGAAATGGTGTGACTGAGTGATCTGATAGTAAATTCAGGATGATTAAAACATTCCAGTTAGGTAGATGTGAGACACCAGATGAGCAATGCAAATGAATTAGATGGGCTGGGATGTTGATACCAAGCAGATAAGCGGTAGTTTTGAATGTTGTGGCTTTGTGTGCTTTTACCTTTTTAATTATTTTGGGAGTGAGGGTTATATGCTGTGCTTTCGTTCCATCATCACTGCTTCCACACACTTGCTTTTTTTGCTGCTTTCATTTCTCTCTGCTTGGTGGAATTGCTGTCATGAAAAAACACAAACCAACTGAAAACCAGAAGTACTTCCTACTAAGTGCTAAAGGACAGGTTATTATGCTTGCTTATATTATTCTTGCTGTCTGCAAGTGGGATAATGCAGACCAATTCTGAGAAGACTTTAGCTGGCACCAAGCCAGTGTGGTTGGTATGTCAGTCTGCCCAGCTCCACACTACCTGCTGTTGTCATCCTGAAGAGGAGAGGAGGAGTGCCTGGGACTGCCTTTTTATACTGCTTTTTCCTGCTGGTAGAATAGAAGGAGCAAGCGGTAGCCAGCTGTAATAAGGGTAATCTGAGAGGTACTTAGATATCAACTAGGGCAGTCATTGCCCACTATTCTAAATAGAAAAGTAGCTTGAAAGCAGCTTCACTTCTATGCCCTGCATTGAATGCAGCTCAAAAGACCAGTTGTTCCCACTCTTAACACGAAAGGTCTTACCCTCAGAGCTGTATGCGTGGCTGCTTTAAAGTCCTTACTTCAGAAACTGTTTGTATATTTTGGGGTTGGGAGTGTGCAGGGTGGAAAGAAAAAGGAAATATTTAAGCCCAAACTTCAAGGGAATTGTTCCTGTTGTACCCAAGTCTGTGAGGTGACTTGTGTCACTGTTGGCTTTACATGATCTGTGCCTCAGTCCAGTGTGAGGAAGGAACTCCACCAGGTCCTTATAATTTCTTAATTTAGATAACACAATAATAAATGTGCTACAAACACTAGGAAAAGACTGGAAGTTTGGTATACTGATTTATTAGTTCTCAGGTTTGGCTTCAACGTATCAGTCCATTGAGAGGAACAGCACAACTCTGTTACCATCATGTGTTATAAAATATTTCCTAGTATACTATCATTGTCATATACCTATATTAATTCTGCAAATGTGTTTTAGCCTTCTTTTAAACTCAGTGTGAAAAAGATGACATTGAAGAAAACATTTGCCGTATAGAACAAAATTCAGGTTTCTATTGTCACTGTTTGCCAAGGAGGGCTGGTTAGGAGGCTGACAGCATATGGTTACATGGCTGCTGTGGTTTGCATGTCATCTGTGGTCCACTTAACTCCTTGTTTCATAAGAGACTTAATCTTACATGTAAATAAAGGTGCGTTTCATATTGTCCTAGGGTGGTTTGTATTTTATTTCCCCCTTGTTTAAGGCTAGTCAGGGAAGGCCAACACAAAGATCAAATAATTAAATCAAGACCTCTTCTTTCATTTGCCTGTTGTAATGATAGCTTAGAAGAAACTCAAAAGAAACCAAACATATTCATCCATTTTGCAGGTACTTTTCATTGTACTTGCTGCATGAAAACAGAGAAATGACACTCTCCCAGTTTGTCTGACTCTCTAATAAAATCTTAACCCCAGGGCGTTACATACAAAAGCCTTTTTTTGTTAACATAATGTCAATCATCTCCAAAACATGTCAATATTCTGTGAAACTAGAGATTGTGAAAATACTACCCATTTTAAGAAAAAAAATTTAGATTTTTGTTTCAAATAATTGTCCTTCAATTTCTTCTGTCATATTAATTTTTATAAGCATTAATCTAATGGTTGTTCCTGACTTGTTTATCCTGATTAATTTTATCATGTTTACAATGATGTATGATTATTTGCCATGTAGTAATGTTTCTTTTGATTGAGTACATTGCTAAAATAGCTTAAAGTAATATTTTTTTTGGTCTGTGTCTGCTAACAAATCCTGGTTTTAATTTGGAACAAGTTATTTGTGTTGAAATCTCTTTGCTGAAGCTGTAAAATTTCATGATCCCTTCCTCAAATTATGATAATCCTTTTATTCATGTATATCCAGTACTGTACGTGCAGGAGTGATAAACTGAACTGAAGTGTTGTTGTCAAAACCTATTGTTTAAATGGGATGGTTTTCTAATTTTACTTTGGTAAAAATTGTTTGTTTCCTGTTGTTTTATTCTTTAGTGCTTGAAAACTGTAAAAACAACTTTTATTTGGAGGAAAGAATCATGATAACTGACATTTTCTACTGAAGAACCCTCCAAAACAAATCCTATTGATTGTATTTTATATTCAGTTTCTCTGGTATTTCAAGAAGACTTAAAAACAATATGTTTCTGAACAGCTTATAAATGTGTGAGCTTAAATAATGCCTGGTTTAGGCTCTATCGATAGTGATTGGCTACATAAATTACCTCCAAAATGGATCAGAAAATTCCCTTTCTGGGGCCTGAAGAACTGGCATCTAAATTCAAAACAAAATCCCAAAACAAAGGAGAATCCCAAACCAAAACCCAAACTAGAAAATAACAGAAAAATTATTATCCATTTAATCACCTTCCATAGTGCCACGGGTTACCTGGTGGATGTCCCCTCCTCTTTCCTTTCCCCAGAGCTGCCATATGTTTTATTTTTTGATAAGAAGGCAGTACTTCCTCTAATAAGAGGGCAGCCTTCCTATAATTTTTATTCTGTTGAGTCCAGCCATACTCACAGGCCATTCTTCAGCCTCCCTACCATCAGACAGGGGAGTCACCACCCCGGAAGGTTTTGGGAGAAGAGACACCACCTTTGGTGATTGTGGTGGTGTGCTGGGGCTGCTCCATTGGACAGTCTGTTCAGGAACCACCCTGTGCAATCAAAAGACAAATCAAAGGTTTTTCTCTTGCTCATCTGGGAAACCCTGAGCTTCTTCAATCAACTGCATGCCAGCTAGTTACGAGGTCTCAAGACATGGAATTGGGAGCAGGGAGGTGAGGCAGTTTGTTTTCAGTTTGCC